TTGACTATGAGTTGGTTATACATTGATTGTACGAAAACGCATTGGTAACTCGATGTTATAAAACGTGCATTTGTGTATGATTCAACAAGTAGTAGAACAAGCATATGAGTCGAAGTTTATCTGTTCCTTCTTGGATTAGAAGCGATATCTGGGCCCCTCGATGATTTTGTGTTGACCCATGTATCGGGTCCGGTCAGAACTAAATTGATGTGTTCAATCAACTTCTATGTCAAACAAATCGGAAATCAAGAAACAAACTGCTGGACAATAAGTAAGACATTGTTCCATGTATTTGTCCGGCTGATATCTAGAACAGAGGATTATATGATCCCTTATCTAAAATGGCGCTTCATAGTTCATCAGAGTTTTAAGAGCTACGATTGTCGGTCGGTTCCTGAAGTCATAAATACAACTATAGTTATTAGACTTATCCAGGTGGGAGACTGTTGGATAAGGTGTCTAAGTCCATAACTATATTTGAGATGTACTTGACCCGACCCGTCATGGTCCATTTGGGTTGCACTTCACCCGAACAATTTATATGGATAATCTTTTGAGAATAGTATAAGTTATGATTTATTAATATATTATAAGTTCTAATATAATAATATGAAATCATATTATTTAATTAGTATTGATCTAAAATTAATTTAGAATTAATTTGGTGATCAAAAGTGTGGCTAATTAAATATGGACTCTTGTATTTATATAGTGTGGGCTAATGCTTATTTAGAATGGGCTAGGCTTGCATGGTAAGTCCATGGATAGTCCATGGAGCTTTAACCCATGGATCTCATGGAAATGAAAAGCCATGGGTATTAGGGTTTACATGGATGTAACCCTAATCCACCACACTATATAAAGGAGTCTTTGGCACTTGATTTTGCACTAGTTGTGTGTGAGAACTAAGAGTGGCAATTTCTAGAAGTGTTCTAACTATTCTCTCAAGTTTCCAAGGTTTGTGGTTATTTGTGACTTTCGTTTGAGGCATCCACATTATTGGTGCTAGGCTCTCAAACTCCAAGCAATCAACCACTACTAAAAGGTATGTAACTCTACTAGCTTATTGTGTTTTAAAGTTCCTCATGCCATGCTAGTTAGGTTAAGAACCTTGGAAAAACAAATTTGCATGTATCTTAGTAAAACATAGATCCAAGGTTTCTAGGGTTGCATGTACACCATAGGAGTGTTAGAATGCTCAAAACCCATCAAAAATGACCATTTACCCCTGGTCAAAGTCAACGTTTTCGTCAAAGTCAACCTTCTAGGTTGACCTAACTCGCCGAGTCATCCTATTGACTCGTCGAGTTCTAGAACTCAGAAACCCTAAAATCGTGACTCGGCTCGCCGAGTCAGCCTATTGACTCGTCGAGTTCCCAGGTTGTCCATCATCGAGGATCCTGATCGGACTCGCCGAGTTCCCGTATGAACTCATCGAGTCCTTTGCAGATCTAACCTAAACAGTTGATTTCACACTTATAAGGCTCCAAAATACAGATCCAAATCGTTTCCATGGTCCATTTCTATAAATTTGGAGACTTGATGGCTTTGCACACCTCAAATGGTCCCAAACTCAAGTTATAGCAACCTACTTCCATGAACATGACCATTGCTTGGACAAAAACGGGTTCAAGACCTCTTTTATGGTTCTAGACGCTAAATATCACAGGAAAAGGGATTGCTTGGCATACAACCCATGGAGAGCAACTTATCCTTCTCAAAGGGATCAAAAGACCCATAAATCAACACTAAAAGAGATCTAAGCTATGGGTTATCAAGCTAAGAGCTTTTTACCTCAGAAGGTTGCAAAAGATGGATGAAATCCTGGATCTTGATCTTCTCCACAAGCTTGATGGCTCCAAGCTCTTCCAACTCTCTTCTATATCACAAAAACACACTCAAAACCTCAATAATCTCTCAAGGAAGAAGCTCACAATGAATTAGGGTTTTGGAGGACATGGAGGTTGGTAAGGGAGGCCCAAAAGGGGATAAGTGGCTTAAATAGGGTGCAAAAACCCGAAAATAGGGTTTCCTCCTGACAGACCTACTCGTCGAGTCCAGGCTTCGACTCGCCGAGTAGACCATTTAAATCCCCGCGTCCAATCTGGCATCGACTCGACGAGTTAGGGCTACCAACTCGTCGAGTAGCTTTTACAAAATTAATATTAAATGAACTGATGCGTATCAGGAACGGGGCGTTACAGGTTAAGATAAAATAAAAAACAAAATGAATGAAAGCTTTGATGTTGGTTAGCCCGTAGGGTTTTGCACTCGAAAGGGAAGGACGTGAGGGGGTAGGATTGTTGATTTGGAAGTATAGGGGATGTCGACAACAATACTTAGAGAGAAGCACAAAACTCAAAGGGAAGTTAAGGTTTAGGAAATAAGCTCTGATACTATATTGGATAATAATTTTCTATTAATAGCTTTTATTCAGTTACAAAATACATAGGAAAATAGGTTAAACGTAATAGGCCTAGAGTGGGCCTAACATATACATACATCATAACCTATCTCTATACATTAAGAGATTATATGTATTGGTGATGTTAATTTTATCTTACAACATGTGTAAAATCTATAGATATGATAAGAGTAATTTATAAAATAACTATATTACCCTCATTGTTTTATTTTTAATTTAATTATAATTTATTTTGTATTTAAATTAAAAATAAATAAATAAAGTAATTCCAATCCCACCCTGCTCCAACCTAAAATCCTAACCTAATACCATTCTTCTTCTTTTTCTCTAATCAACGCACAGAAACATCAGCAACACCACCACTGTCTTTCCATCACTGTTGGACCACCATCGTCGGACCACCACCCACCATCGTCGACCACCACTTCATTTTCTCTCGGAAACATTGTCTACAACCCTCCTTCTTCTCTTCTTGTTTCGGGTCGACTTTTCCGTTGGACAGACCAAATCCATCCTCTCTCTCTCTCTCTCTCTCTCTCTCTCTCTCTCTCTCTCTCTCGTTCTCCTCATTTTCCAATATGAATACTTCATCTCTGATTTGAGGTTTCTTTAAGGTTTCGTGCACTGTTTTGTCTTAGACCTAAGATCTGATGTGAGTTGTTTCGAAACTTCAATGTCTTAGAAACACCTTCATCTCTCCAACCCGTCGCCACCTAGGTTTTGAATCAATAGTCGCCACCTAGGGTTTCGAATGTCGCATGGGGTTTCCAACCACCTCTTAGGGTTTCAAATCGAGTTCCATCGTTTGTCGGTGTTGATTACTGGTTTGGTTTGGTTTGGTTCTAGTATAAATTTTATGATATCATTTGGTTGATGACTGGTGGTGGTTCAGGAGGTGTTAAAAGTGATAGGTGGAAGTGTTGGGGTTTAGAATGAGGATAGCGAAGAGAAATAGAGAGATAGTGAGAGAGAGAGAGAGAGGGGGAGAGAGAGGTATGTGTATGTGTGTATGTGTGTGTCTGTGTGTGAGAAAAAAGGAAGAGAAAAGCAATGGTTTCTGGCGGTAGTCGATGGTGGATTGTTGTTTTTGGGAAGTTCTTGAAACAGAAATACTTTAAAGAATGAATTGTAGGGGTACTTTTCTAAAAAACGAATAAAACCCCAAAATAAATCTGAAAATTAAACGAAAAAGAAATAAAAAATGGCAATATAGTCATTTCTTGTTTGTAAGGACGAAACATGTACTTTTTACGATATAATGGATGGTTAGAGTTAATTTTTGAGAATAAAGACTGAACATGTTTTTTGGAACCTACACGACGGACAATAATGCAATTGTTATTGCGTGAATATCGAAAGATAAATCTTTATAAATGGTCTATATTAATTCCTAACATATCAAGTTTGGTACTTAATTTTTTTAAGTCTCAAGGAAGGTCCATATAGTTTCAATTTATATCGTGGTTACTATTACTTTTATACCATTTTTAATTTATTTTACATTTCTTTTATTAAAATGATTTCAAAATATAAAATTAAATAAATAAATATCACCACTCCACCACGACTGTTCCACCCACTTAAGTGTAGTTTGCTTTTTTTTTTAAAACATCTCCAAACCATTTTTTGCTGCGCGGCGCAGCACATACACAACATTTGCCCTCTCGAAGCAGTTTGTTTTTTGGAAGACTTCAGACTACAAAACTTCTACGTGTGTTCTGCGCGGCGCAACACTTGACTTGTCTCTTCAAACCTCTTCAGTTTTAATTTTTTCCAAGTACTTTTTTTTAGAAATTTGGTATAACTTATTTATTTTTTAAACTTTGATTTACCGATTTGATACATTTTCTTTTTATAGTTTCCACAATTTTTTATAACTTGATTTTTTTGAAAATAAAACTTTGAATTTTTTTTTTTAATTTTTTTACCGTTTCTATTAATAATATTTTCAGTTGCGGTTGCATCTTTTTTAACATGTGTAATTCTTTTACGAACTTTATAGATATTGTTTGCAATATTTTCTTAATTTTTTTTATTATTTTCTTTTTTATGTTTTTTAAAATTAGTTTTTTTTCTAGAGTAAAACTGATAGCTTCTTTTATATTTTTTTTAGAAATTTTATATATTTTTTTTTACATGTTCTTTTTAACATTCTTTCAATATTTTAAAATTAAAATTATAAAAGTTTCGAAAAACTATTTTCAGTTTATAAAAATTAATTTATTTAAATTTCAGTTTTTCTGAATTTTTTTTTTTTTTTCCTTTTTTGTCTACAGCCCATTCTGGCCATCTCTTCTCCTACCTACACAAACTTTATACAGACACAACCCTTCTCTCCTACCTACACAAACTTTATACAGACACAACCCTCTCATACTCTCATTTTTTCACCTCCCCTATTTTTACCATCGACGATGCCTCTCCGAAAATTGAAGAACCACCCATACAGGTACGTCTTGCTACTACCGGAATTCTTGGAGTCAGCCCAAACAGGGTTCATGATATAAGTTCGTGAGCTCGGAAAGCCCTTTGGAGCAATATAGCACTCGAATCCTAACCCTAGCTGGCCCCTCTGATGTTCAGTAACCGGAAACCTAACAAGAAACCGATCGCCACAATTGTTGGAAACCGTAACCATTCACCCTTTCTTCTCTCTTCTTCGAGACTGTCTTCTCCAGCCACTTCAAACCACTGCAGCCAACCCCTTCACCATCTCTATCCTTCGTTCCCCATCCCCAACGTGAAACAGCTAGAGCCACTACCACATCCATTTTGCCTTAAGATTTCTTGTGTTAATATCTCTAATTTGGATTTTCAAGTCTGTTATTATCTTGTGTTTTCTCAACAACGGACTTGGAAGAGACAATAGTGGTTCCATTCAATGGTTCCTCATATTTGATCTTGATTTTCAGCTTTGATTTGATTTTGGAACCCGGATTTTGAAATCGTTCCTAAACTCAGCATGTTTCAGAAACCTGTATCATAGAAATTAATGGTTTTGGAATCAGAATTTTTATCAGGTTTTTATTTTCAACTTTGATTTTGATTTGGAATCAGGATTCTAATCTGGTATTGATTTTGACTTTCATCATATGGTTTTAATTTTGATCAGATTTGATTTTGGTTTTGTTTTGATGATGACGGCTGTTTCGAATGGCGGTGGAGAGGTACAAGAAAATTGGACTAAACTTGATATCTGAAAAAACAAATGGACCGATTTGTGGCAAGGAAAAAGAACATATATAAAGAGAGGTACAAAATCTTCTAAGATAGATCGCATGGATTGCCAAGGTGTCATATATACAAACATAAACTAAAAGTAAAAATAAATTATAAATTATAAATTATAAATTATACAGAAGCATGATGTCTTTGTATTGACTATTCAGAGGTTCCTTAACTGTACATCTTTTCCGGATTCTACGAAGTAAGCGTCAATTAGGAAATTGTCATGTTATGCGAGTACTTTAATTCCACTCTTCCTTAGGGTTATCATTCCTTCATGTCACCTTCAGAACATCAATATTTGCCTTTTTTGTTTTAGAGTCCTCAACAAGGCTGCCCAGGTAGGCATTTAAGTTTGCCAGCATCACGAGTGAGTGTCTCAACGGGTATCGTGGAAGGTGGAATCAGGCCTGCACTCTGTTCAGGGGTTGGTTGTATATCACCACCTGATTGTACGAAGTAAGCTCCATTTAAGAAAATGTCATTTTCCGATTTCCACTTCCAGTTCTTCCATTCATCCTCAGCAGCGTTATTCCTCGCTGTCACCTTTAAAACATCAATTCTTTTGTTAGATCATATCGATACAAAAAGACAATTATATATACATGCATGCATGGGTAATTAATTAATGGGTGCTTTTGCATACCTGTTTTAATCTTTTCTCATCAGCAGCCAAAAATCGGTTGCCTTGACTCAAGATAGTAGGGTTACTGCTACCACCAATAGCATACATTTTCCATTTGTTATAGTCATTGTTAACTACCTGGAAAAAACCATGACGACACCTAGGCATTCTTTGGGTACATCCTTCATTAAACCTGTTGAATGCGACTGTGACTAACATGTCTTTATCTTCCGTATGCGAATCATCTGCCCCTAGCAACATCACCTGTTCATGCATATTTTGCAAACTTGAGATTACAAAAAAAGAAACGCTCATTGAGCTTGATGATATTCAAATGCTTCTTACTTTGTCGTGATGGTTGAAATCGCAGTTGGAAATGGTTACGGCTGTACTTTTCATGGTGACATCAAGGAGCCCATCTTCGCCATGATCGAGTGTCACATGGTCGATCCATACCTTTGTAGAACCAAAAACGGAAATAGCATCTCCATCGCTTTTTGATCTTGACCCAGCTTTGGTCTCACAAGTCCTAATCTTTCCACCATCTACTACTTTTATATGGTGTATGTGGATCCCATGAATAATGACATTGTTCACTTTGTATACACCCAGACCTCCACCATTAGCAATCTCGACAGAGGCACCTCTACCATCAATTGTCTTGTCACTATTAATCACGAGCTCATGTTTCAACGTGATCACCATATCTTTGTCGAATGTAATCCATAAAGGTCTATCTCGAGTAACACCAAAACGTAGCGTCCCTTCCTTTGGATTCTCACAATCGTCATCTGAAGGATCAGTCACCACGTAGATGTCTCCACCCTTGCCACCTGTGGTTCCTTTTGCATAACCAAGAACACAATCGGCTAATGCTTGACGGTTTTCTGCCCAATCGGATTTGCCCCTCCAGCATTTGTCTATATCGTTTCTTGCTTCGCATGTGGTATGTAAGTCCCTCCTTTCTGAACTACAAGAGTTTTACAATAAATTAATGTAAATTTATAATGCAAAGAAGAAACATATATATATATATATATATATATATATATATATATATATATATATATATATATATATATATATATATATATATATATACTCACCCCTTGTCATCGGCAAACTCTGCTGCAAACGAGTCGGGATCATGAGGATTAATAAATGCATCCATTGCAGCATCCTTGTCGTCTAGTTCATTACCAGGTTCAGGTGATGAGAAGAGACCAGCAAAAATAACCGGAGCCATGAAAACCAAGATATGAGTGAAAAGCAAAACGAACTTATGTTTCCCCATTGTATATATGATTCTCTTTTGCACACAACTTTTTTCCTCAAAAGTTCCTAAAACACTGTGTTATTATGAATCTCAAGTTAATCGCTAGCTATATATGTTAATTATTCCAAAACAATGGCATCCTTGATTATATATGTTGTTTTAGATCTTCAATTCCTCGTTTAAATAAGAAAATTTTGCTTATATATATTTAGTAATAAGTGGTTTACCAAGAAATTAATTAAATACCTGGTGATCACAATTTTTGCTACAAAAATGGACACCAAGTGAAAATGCCGTGACCGCAAAACAAGGACAAGACCACATTCATTAGTTTTGCTCCTAAAATGAGAGATACAGAGTGGTTGTTCGACGACCTTCTATATTTTGTTGAAGTGTACAGCAGACCTTATATATAATTAATAACCAATAAGGCATTGCTTTGTTTTGGACATAATAATCAGAACAGAACTTCAAGATTTTCTAATCATCATTGATCATTCACTTAAAATATATATATATATATATATATATATATATATATATATATATACAAGAGAAATATTATGGAAGAACGTAAGTTCTAGACTATGGGTTGTAAACTCTATCGAGCAACATTATGTATATCTATGTTCGAGAAACGGTGGAAGACTAAAGCGTGATTATAGAGATTGGATTAGTATGCTCTATGACTGCCTTTTTATTACGATTTCTCACATCACAAAATATATTTCACATATTCAATTTTAAGTTCTAAAAGGCTCCGGTCTTAAAACTCTTTTTACTTTCTATAATATTTTGTCGGTTAGACAAACTAACCATACTAACATTTGGATAAACATATTATGGAAGAATTATAGTAATAGGACTAGTTATGTATTTGTATAAAATAGTTTAAGGGCATTTGTATCCATCCATATGTTCTCATTAACAATTAAATCTTTAACATATATAATCAAAAACCTACACATACTTCTGAGTTTTGAATGAAACTAACAATAACTTCTAACTCACAATGACTTTATATAAAATCATCAAGATCTAGAACAAAAATAAAGATTCATCAATGGAAGGTGAACAACAAGTAATTTCACATGATACAATGTATGTTCATGGGTAAATCCTCTTAGCATACAACACTTGACTTTCTAAAAATATAACCATATGTTCATCATTGAAAACAAAAATGTTTACATATATTCATTATTCACATATATATGGATCAAGCCGTTTATGACGCTTCCCATACCTTATAATCATTTCCCTGAGCCGCCATCTTCCAATTATGGGACCCACCATCGGGTTCATAATGACCCGGTCCAATCTTCATTGCCACCTTATCATCAATAACAGCTGCATACACATCTCTCTCTGACTTCACGATTTTAACCTATATATATAAATGGTGATTAAATTTTTAATTTAATATAAGCATAAGGAATTTAAAAATAGGTTATAGGTGAAGGTGCTCATGATACTTACTGTACTCCGGCATTGTATCTTATTACGGCTCCTGATTGAGATAAGTGCAGAAATTTCGGATTTGTAACGGGAAAACATGTGATCATAGAAAACAGATGGTGTGCCAGGGTGTGTTAAGATGTAAGCGTATCCTTGCATCTCCTTTCCACCTGGAAATCTCCAGTGACCCTACAATATAAATTAATAATACTTTTTTCGATCTTAAATAGCATAGAAAAGTGAAACATGAAAATTAAAGTTAGTTAATTTAATTAATACTTGTGTAGAACCAGTATCGTGATTTTCAATAAAGGTTACAGCACGAGAAGGCCACCACCCAAGAACACCTGGAGGTTTTCCGTTTTGATCGCTTAATCTCCAGTATTCGGTTCTTTCAATTGCCTGTCATGTACGTACAAAATAAAATTATTATTAATTAATTACTTTTAAAAAAGGTTAATTTGGAAAATTAATTTTTGTCTTTAAATACTTACAGAGTGAAGAATTCCTTTTGTTGTGACATCAAAGGCGCCAGCAGATCCATTAGTGTCATTAATCCAGTCAACAATTCGCTGTCTATGGGCATCTTGATTGTGATCCATTTCACCGTATGTGTAGCTTAAAGAATCCCAATACTCGCCTACGGAAAAGTAGGGTTTGCTTGCTTCCATGTATTCCTTTACATAACCACCCCAAAATCCCCTCACGTAATCCAACCTCCATCCATCGTATCCAATCTCTTTCCTAAAATTATGACATTTTATAAAAACATCGAAACAAATTGCATTTTTGGTCCTTGAGTATATATAGCTGAAATTATTCAATTTTCGTCCCAAAAAGTTCTCTTGCAATTTTGGTCCTTATTTTGAGGTTCTTGTAACGTTTTTGGTACCAAAATTCAAAAAGTCAGCTATTCTCAAGCACCAAAAAGGTAATTTAGTCTAGAATATATGAATAGAAATAAAGAAAGGGGGTGATGAGTAAACCTAAGCCAGCATAACCACTCGCTTAGGTCTTTTCTTACAAACTCTTGTGAATGGTCGATGTTTGGAGCAGCATGGAAATTATCACCACTACTCTTGTTTCCCCGGCCCTAAAAGTAAAAGATAAAAAATAAATAAAGTGGAAGTTTATTTTAAAAAAAAATGAAAATGTTTAATGTGGAGAAAGAGAAAGGATTGTACTTGAAAATGGGGATCATCAGCAACAACTGCACGATCGTCCCAATTTAATAGACCACCAAAAATGTTCCAAACGCCGTTTTGGTTTTGATAATGTGCACAGCGGTGATTTATGACTGCGTCACCTAGAACTCTTATACCAACTTGATGGAATTTTTTGACAAGGGCTTTTAACTCATCAACATTTCCATACCTGATCAACACAATACATGTGAATGTAGGATGAAGTAAATACGTATCAATCATTTTTCTTCGCTATGAGAATGGGAAACTAATGAGTCGTAGCTTTAACAAAATATTAAACATTGGAAGTAAAATAGAAAAACATTTATGGGCGTAATTGAGAACGGGTATAAACTAAAATACATTGTTGAGGGATTTGGTATAAGCATGTCCGACTGTTGACATCTAAAATCCAGAAAGAGAACCACATTTAGGAACCCTAGATGTGATATGCCTCAAAACAAAAAATGTTGCATCCTACTGTCATATTTGTAAATTCCGTTTGTTTGTATTTAACTGTCGAGTATACATCTTTTTCGGCATTGCTTTACTCCATCAATGATGACTATGTTCCTTAATTATTCATATTCCTCGTAACTGTATGAATATCAAACGTTGTCATGTAAGCAGGGCGAGATGTGAGAGTAAAATTTTTGTTTCAACTCTTGTTTGGCACTCAGCTCAGGCATCCTTCTTCATATGCTTTTAATAAACTTTTTTTTTTCTAATAAATTTACTTTAGTAACATATGTATGCTTGTAACATAGCTAAAATTAGTCCCTTAACTTTTCCTCAACATTATTCGTATAGTAAAATTCCATTGGAAGTAATACATTAAAACATCCCCCACACGGTATTATCGATTTGGATTTCGTGACTATTTTATATTTATTAACAAGTACAACCAATTTACATGGATATATCCATTGCCACATTGTGCAAATGCCCTTGCTTTTTTTGATCACTTCAAAAATCATATAAAAATCTTTTTCCCATAAAAGTCAAAAAAAAAAAAAAAAAGCAAGTGTGATGGTGCTCCTAAGACTACTCAAAGGCCAAATAGGCCACTTTTTGTTCGAGTCTGTAATTACATACAAAATCTCTATACCACAACGATAAAACAGACTCATCTGAGATAGCATGGTCCTGTCTTTTGCATGCCACAATATCACAAATTTTGGTACAATGTGTATGCTACCACATCCTTCATTATCAATTGCATCCCATCTCAAACCTTGAAACTCATTATTATATTTTACATATATCCATATGCTTATGTTATCCATTCCTTGAAAGTTTCTTGCATTTTTGTTGGTTGTGCTCCCAATATATCCATATGCTTATGTTATCCATTCCTTGGAAGTTTCTTGCATTTTTGTTGGTTATGCTTCCAATCGAAAAGGATATCTTAACTAACGTCCACTTACTTGAAAAACACATACCTCCCATCATGTTGTCTTTCATAAGACTACTTTCTAAATTTTCTATATTATGTGGAATACTACTTCTCCATCAAATATGACCCAAATAGTCTTACCCTTTATTACATTATAGCAACATCAACTCCATCAACGGTACCACCACCTTTGTTTCATCCATCACATCATCCTATCCTCCTATTTTTACTATACTTGTTCTTACTATATGTCTTCCATTTCTCATGCCATAACAACCAAATCCTGAGATAATACACATCACCCCAAAACAGTCAACAAACATGTCCTTTATCAACCACAACTCTTTCAAACTATTAAATCTACTACCTTTAACCTGAGCCTAGAAATAGATTGTATGATGGGATGCCATGAGTAAAGATTTATGCACGTTACACTTATCACACTGGTGCAGATAGGTGTGTCAAACCGATAGAAACGGGATTGGCGGATGATTACGTTGAGCCAATGTTGTCGCACCTTTAAGTAGGTGGACAAGGAAAAAGGTAGAGGTAAGCGTAACTCTGAACCAAGGATGAGATCCAACAAATCTCAACGACTATATGAGCTAGAGTATGTGATACGTCTAGACCTCCTGGACGATGGATGATTTGGGCGGGTATAACAAAGATGCAAGGAGTAAGTTGCAAGTAAAGTTAGGTTTATTTAAGGAAAGTTTGTTTAATTATGGTAGTTTTATTTAAATAAGGATGTTTATCCAGTATTGTAGTTAGGATATGATTCTTTTCCTAGTTCTTAGCTTTCCTAGTTCAACTGTAGCAGGTCACTACAAATATGATGCCACCATAGCTCTTTAATTTTATCGGTTATTAAAATCTAGTCTTCGACTACTCTTGGAGATCACATGTTCTCAAACTCAGGTAATCGGGCTTACCCTAGGACCAAATCTAATATCTATCAATTGGTATCAACGCAGTTTATCCTGCGGTATGGTGTCAAAACTCAACAACACAGAAAGGATCGGTAATCTAGAAACGGATGTGGCCAAGATGTGTGAAGAGGCAGCAAATCTGCAGAAAGCAGGGTTGAAAGTACCACTCGGTTTCAAGAGTTGATGAATACACTTAATGACTTGAAGCAAGACTCGAAAAACGGATGGAAAAGGAAGGAAAAGGGACCTTCTGATCGGGTTCACCTTTGGAGAAGACGACAAAGATGAAGAGGAATCTGTGGGATCGCAAAAAGAGAACACGGGAGGAAAGTCGAAGGTCCTTCTGTGGGACTACTGCAAAATCAAGATGCCAACATTTGAATAGGAAGATGTGCATGGTTGGATTTACAAGATCGAACGGTACTTTGAAATTCAAGGAATCAAGGAGAAAGACTATCTTAGGGCAGCATCGATTTGCATGGAAGGATCAACTTCATTGTGGTATCGTTGGAACGCGGCCAGGACCATCGAACATGGGACGAATTCAAAAGAAAATTGGTCAATCGTTTCCAAGAGTCACAAGAAGGAAGCATATACGAACAGTTCTTGAACATCCAACAAGAAGGAACGACTCGCGAATACGTCTTTAAGTTTGAAAGTTTGGTTGGCCAACTTCTTGACCTACCCGAGAAGGTCTTGGAAAGTACATTCATAAAAGGATTGAAAGCAGATCTCCAGTCAGTGATACGGATCATGAAGCCCGAAACCTTAACCAAAGCCATCAGAGTTGTGATAAAAATGGATGAGAACCACTCTATGGGAGTCGCCAAACATGACAGTAGTGCGTCCTTAGCTAAAACAGGGTCGGGCGGGGCTGCGAAAACAAGTTCCGCATCGGCGGGGTTTAACAACGTCAAGACACGCTACGAAACACGTGGTAGCCCTACTAGATTTAACAACATCAAGCAAGGGACGATACGGGTTATTATAGGTAACAAAATAACGGATAAGAGCTCAAGAACTTGCAAGGGGTTGTACTCACCTTACCAAATGATCGAAAGTAGTAGAAGATTTTTATCCATTACCCAATGTCATTCTAGGCATTAAATGGCTACGTACACTAGGTGATATGACCGTCAATTGGCAAGATCTAAAAATGACATTCTGGGAAGGCAACCGTCAAGTCATACTCATAGGAAATCCAAGCTTATCCAAAACACTAGTAAGTATCATGTAAGTCTCTTACTCGAATGCTGAAACACGAAAGTAATGGATTTCTATTGCAATTAAACACGATAGAAAAAACAGAAACGCCCAACCGGTTTCCAGCGGAATTCCAAGTCTTGATCGATGAACATCACGACATTTTTGAAATGTCAACAGGCCTTCGCTCGTCCCCAGCCACGAGCACGCAATTGTTTTACAAGGAACGACTTCTATCAGTGTGAGACCCTATCGTTAACCATTTGCACAAAAAAGGATTTAATCGAGAAATTGGTATGAGAGATGTTAAATGTGGAGATCATTCAACCAAGTACAAACCCATTTTCTAGTGCGGTCTTGTTAGTTAAAAAGAAAGACGGGAGTTGGTGGTTCTGCGTGGACAATCATGCATTAAACAAAGCGAAAGTCTTGGATAAGTTTCCAATACCCGTAATAGATGAATTATTGGATGAGCTACACGGGGCCGCAATGTTCTCAAAGATCGGTCTTAAAACCGATTGTCATCAAATTCATATGAAGACAAAAGATGTTTCCAAAACCATATTACGAACACACGACGATCACTACGAATTTTTGGTAATGCCATTCGGGCTAAGCAATGCCCCAACTACTTTTCAGCCACTAATTAATAAAGTGTTCCAACCCTTATTACAATGTTTTGTATTGGTTTTTTTTATGACATACTTGTATATAGCAAAATAGCAGCTGAATACATGACGCATCTTGTGATGGTTTTTAAGGTACGTCGTAATAATCACATTTCCGTTAATAAAAAGAAATGTTTTTTGGCTCAAGGGGTATATACTCTCGACAAAAAGAGTCTCGGCCGATCCCGATAAAATTAACGTCGTGTTGGAATGGTCGCTCCCTAAAACACTATGTGAGCTCCAAGGTTTTTTTAGGGCTAACATGATATTATCGCAAATTCGTCAATAGTTATGGAAAAATAGCTTTGCCACTAATGCAACAACTAAAAAGATGGGTTTAAGTTGTCAGAAGACGCTACTAAGGCGCTCCGACAACTTCAAAACGTAATGGTGCGGGCACCGATTCTAGCACTACCAGATTTTACAAAAGAATTTATAATAGAGACAGATGCCTCCGACTATGGGATTGCGGCGGTCTTAATGCAAGAAGACAGGCCACTAGCTTTCTATAGTCACGTTTTGGGGACCCGTGCATGTATGAAATCAGTTTATGAGCGTGAGCTCATGGCGATATTGTTAGCGGTTCAACGGCGGCGGCCCTATCTTTTAGGTCGGAAGTTTGTAATTTGCACCGATCAACGAAGTTTGAAGTATTTATTAGAGCAGCGCATGGTTACTAAGGACCATCAGAAGTGGTTATCTAAGCTATTGGGATACACTTTTGATATCATTTGCCGTTCGGGAAAGAACATAAAGCGACAGACGCGCTCTCATGAAAGGTACCCAAAACTCAATTTAATGTAATCACCACGACTTGTAAAGATTAAATGGGAAGAATTATGGAAAGATCTTGATCTGTTGGATAGTATTGTCGCCATTAAGCAGAAAATAACAAATGGGGAGGAAGTACCGGCGGGATACACATTAGAATCGGAAAGGGTTTTATACAAGGGACGGTTGGTATTAAATTGGCCCTCGTTTTGGATTCCAAAATTTTCGCGAATTTCACGATAGGTTGGTGGGTGGTCACTCAAGAGTTCAAAAATCATATCAACGTACGGCACGAGAAGTTTTCTAGAGCGGCATGAAAGGCGATATAGCTAAAATGGTTGCGGAATGTGATATTTGCCAACGTCAGAAATACTCAGCATTACATTAGCTCGGAATAGGTTACTTCAACCACTAGAGTTGCCAACACGAGTGTGGTCGGAAATTACTATGGATTTCATCTGACGGTTTGCCTAGCTCAGAAGGTTTTACTGTTATCTTTGCGGTTGTGCATCGTTTAAGTAAGTATGCTCATTTTGTGCCATTAAATCATCCCTACAGAGCGCTAATGGTGGCTACAATTTTTGTTAAAGAGGTGATTTGATTGCATCGCGTACCAGAGTTAATTGTTTATGATCGTGACAAGGTTTTTTTAAGCCAATTTTGGCGTGAATAGTTTCACTTACAAGGGATGAATCTCAAGCGCAATATCGCTTATCATCCGCAGTCCGACGGCCAAACTGAGGTCGCAAATCGTTGTGTCAAAACATATCTTCGTTGTTTTGTTCAAGATACTCTAAGATGGTGGAGTAAATGGTTAGCATGGGTAGAGTATTGGTATAATACTTCTTTTTATACGTCCACTAAAACAACTCCTTTTAAAGTATTGTATGACAGTGACCCTCCACATTTATCTTTTACTATGGTCACGCCAGAACAGTAGTTGGATCCGTGGATCAGTATTTAGATGAAGGAGATCATGTTTTGCAACAACTAAAGGGGTATTTGTTTCGAGCTCAACAGTTGATGAAAAGTCAGGCAGATTTGCATCACAAGGAGGTTCAATATGTTGTTGGTGATTGGGTTTATTTGAAACTCAAGCCTTGTCGTCAACAGTCTATGGCAAGACGCCAAAATGAGAAGTTAGCCCGGACCTCTCGTATTCATGATGTTTTTCATGTGTCTCGGTTACGTAAGGCCATTGGAAATCGGGTAGCTGCTCCTCTGGCGACTATGGATAAGGAAGTTTTGCTGCAACCGAGGAAGTTGGAAGGGGTGTGTGATGGGACCAATGGACAAGAGGTTTTGATTCGTAGGTTGGATCTTCCGGAGTATGAGGCGCAACATGGGAGCTGTTCGAGGTTATAAATCGTCAATTTTTTCACCTTAAGGGCAAGATACGTGTTTCAGAGGGGTGTATTGATACGTCTGGATCTCCTGGACGATTTGGGTGGGTACACCAAAGACGCAAGGAGTAAGCTACAAGTAAAGTTAGGTTTATTTAAGGAAAGCTTGTTTAATTATGGTAGTTTTATTTAAATAAGGATGTTTATCTAGTCTTTGACTACTCTTGAAGATCACCTGTCTCGAACTCAGGTAATCGGACTTAACCCTAGGACCGAATCTAATACCTATCAGTATGATATTTGGCCAGGGCACCAGTCCAGCCATATTGTCATTAGGAATGAGCAACGGGTTGAACCCGTACCGGACCGGCCCAAAGACCGAAAGCCCGAAGTCCGAAAATCGTGAATTATCTTACCCGAAAATCGGACCGTTTTTGGGTGTAGCGGGTCCGGGTTCGGTCTGGTCCGGTTTCGGGTACCAGGTTTTGGGTTTTGGACCGAATTAGACTTTGGTAGTGTTGTTTACGGTTTCGGTCCAATCTTGTTCTTGATACCAAACTGGGTTTCGTATGTTTGTTGTTTACGGTTTCAGGTTTTGGCTGTCATGTTACTATCTAGCATACTATTTCAAATTATAATCTTATTAGGTAACATCCATCATTCGTATCTTTGTTGTTTGCACAATTCGACTAAAAAAATATATAAAAGAACATGAATACAACGGTACGTTGCAGGACTCTAATTAGAACACGTGCAAATGTTATTAAAAAAAACTACACTATTTTTATAAAAAAAAAACTGCACTGTTTTTATAAAACAAAACTGCACTTTTTTTATAAAAAATTTGCACTTAACAACATTATTTTTATTAAAAAATACTGCATAATTTTTTTCTAAAAAAAAAAAACTACACTATGTTTATTAAAAAAAATTATATTAGGAAATAACTTTTGGTTTTTCGAGAAAAGAAAGCGACACCATAATGCAATCAAGAGAAGAGGCCGAAACAAAAAAAAATTTGACACTCTAATGTGACACAGGAGAGGCCGAATCAATTCAATCGGACAACATTTTTTTTATTTTGGTAATTCTTACTTACTGTTTGCTGATCAAAAAAAGAAAATAACTTTTGGTTTTTCGGTCCGGTCTGGGTTACATCCTTGAATTCGGGTACGGTCCGGTCCAAACCCGAAACCCGATTAATGATAAAAACCAAACCCGAAAACCGGCCCACTAATATGATAATCCGGTTTGGTCCGGGTCCGGTCCCGGTTTTTTTCCGGTCCCACGGGTCGTATGCTCATCCCTAATTGTCATATTGAGATCAACCTACATGTCTTTCCAGGATTGGTCTTTGTAAATTCGCTATGTGCCAACGACTTCCTAGCTTGCTAACATTCTCACCAATATACTGCCCATTTCTCGTTTTCAATTGCTACAAGTTCTACCTACCATCTAGCTTGAGGGGGGATGCAACCTATCCTACTGCTTCTTAGAAGTTGGTTGTCGCAAATAGTTTAGGGCGACTCATAGTCATAGCCTCTCGTGTCTTAGGTTGTGAGTCATTGTGTCTGTGAGTGCCTTTAGCCTTGTTCTATGTCGGTCATGACGGCATATAAAAACATTTCTCTTCTATTGTGTTACTCACTTCACGACACATAATACACGATCAGATTTCTCTTATCTTCATTTCTTTCCATTTCTGCTTATATTATATCTATATACCTGTTTATACTAGCCACTAGACTTTGTCCAAATGTAAGCTACATATAATCTTATTATATTCCGTATCCCTCAACCTTAAACATTACAGTCTGCTTCTCTATCAAACTAAGAGATTCATATTATGATTCAAATTCATATCAATCTTAAACTGATCCGAAACTAAGCATGCATAAGATATGAGAACTTTATGTCTAAGAATTTAAAGTACCTGGAGTTTAAGTTATATAGATCCCTTGGCATGTAGCCTTCAGGTGAGATAGATTCAGTTGGTGGAGGCAACCAAACAACAGTAAACCCAAGTGAAGCCAATTCTTCAACCTTCTCTTGTAGTTCCCCATACCATCTTCCAGACTTATTAGACTCCCAATTAAATCCCTGAAACAGAAGCTCAAATCCTGAACCAGTTGCTGAACTTACTTTAACAGGTGGTTCCACATCCACATCCACAGCTTCAAACTCATCAATCTCTTGTGGTAAACTTTGAACAGAGCTTCTGTAAATACTATACGCTTCAGCAGCTAACTTTTCAATCTCTTGAAGAATAATCTCCTGTTTTTCTTTGCTTTTTGTTTTCCTGTTGGCTGCAGATGATATCCCAGTTACCAGATGTCTAATTTCATCAATGATTTCATCCGTATATGCACCAGAAACAGCTTCTTCTTCATCATTGTTATTTTCTGGATTCTGGGAGACGCTTTCTTTTGGGATACGTATGTAAAAGTCATTCCCCATGTTATTAATCCATGTCTTGGTGTCCTTAAGTTTCAAAACAAAAAGAAATCCGGAAGCTTCTTGATCTAATGGAAATACTCCACTGCATCCATGCTGCAAAAGGATGAAAGGTTTGCTGTTTTTACCTACTTTAACTCTAGGTAAAAACAGTGTAAGAATAAATGAAAAAAAAAAAAAAGCATACCTGTAACTGAGTACGCAAAGCTTTGTTTTTAAATACTGATGTGTTATCTGGATGAGGTCCAGAAGGAATTTCCCACTTCAAACTCTCATCTTTACAGATTCCCCAATGAACAATAACATCACCAGGTATATCAGTCTCCATATGCAGCACATTATTAGATGCATCTGAACCTTTCTTTATGTAAACATTCATGGAATGTTCAACCAAAGTTTCTTTTACAATGGAATGCTCTTCACAGAATTCCTTCAACTTATCACTTTTATTTTCATCTTCAGAAACTGAGTTTTCTGATTGAACCATTACACCTGATAACTCCCCTGAAGTCCCTGTTCATAAAAAAAGACATTTGAAAAATTAGTGATTGCAATTTGCTAAAAGAATACAGCAGAAATTGTTCCATGATCCAACCTGGCCAAATGGCAAACCCTTGTTTGGTTCCCACAGCATTTTCATTAGCATATGAGAAATCGACAAGTGGCACCTTAAAATCTCTTCCTCTGTACTGATACCAGGATCCAGTTTCTGCATCCTAAATTATTGAGTAATTAAGTGAAAAGAGACATAACTTTAAAGTAAATGAAGATCATTAACCACTAACAACTTCAACAGTTCAACTACTACCTTTAGTACAAAATTTATAGCTGCAATTGAACTTTTAGTGTTGAAATCAATCTTCACTTCATGGATTGAATCTGTTTCTGTGACAGTTGATGATTTTGTCAAAGGGGTCTCAATTGCATAGTCCTGAAAAGATGAGGTACAAGAATGTAATTTCACCAAAATGCAATGAAGTGAATTAAACCAATATAAAATTGAAGAAATTAGATACCTTTATGGTAATAGAGTCAGGAGGTATCATTTCAGCAGGAGGTTGATCCCATTCACTATAGGCATTGAGTATAAAAGTAAGAAAATGTTTGTTTTTTTAATCTTGTTCAAAGTACTAAAATATATAACATTATAACATAAACCTGTCAATGTCATTTTCGTAATTAACTCCCCAATGAAGAACCCATTTCCCTGGAAGGTTACATCCTATAGTTAGTTGCCAATTTTCCTCATCCTTACCACTGTCTAATTTGATTAGTATCTTTCCTTCCACCTGTAATTGATATTGAAAAGACCATGAGAGCAATAAATTCACATCAGAGTTTCTTTCTTGTAACTTTTTTCTCCATTCTCCATTGCCTAAAAAAGAGCTGCATTTTGATTTTTTATGTCAAACATTGCATTGCTCAACAAACTGAAATGAAATGTTTTGCATATTTGACATCAAACTATTCTACTTTAAGTCTAGTAATTGTTATCATAGCAGATTTAACAATCGGGTAGAAACAATGTGCATATATGGTCCTCACGTCCATGTATACTCATATTCTTCTTAATTATAAGATTATGATGGCGAATTTGTTGCTCAGTGCCACTAACCAAATTATACCAGTTATCAATCAACGTTTGAACTTCATCCATTAAACTACATTTAACCAAATAAACAATACAATGCCCTTTCCACTACTTCATATTTTAACCTCCGATTTGTTCAAATTAGACTTCCGCTAAACTAATCAAAAACATAAGCCCATGCTTACACACACAATTTCTAGTTCGAACGAACCTTTTCGATGCGTTGCAATGGAAAAGTTTCTCTGGAGATGACGTCATCGGACAACGGTGCATCAAGGACAGCTGTGTCCGAGGTGGAGTTATTAGAAGAAGCTCTGACGGTGGTTGACAGAACCCTACAATCAAAAGAAGGTCCGAACTTGCCGCTTTTGGCGCCATTTTTTACCACAAAACTCCCTTTCCTACTGTAATACAAATGAGATCGTTTAGAATTTCTGGAATTTATACGAATTTTAGGGCTTTCTAAGCGACAACAATGGTGGAAATGAGTCCCAAGAGGAACCGTCGCCATTGTGTGTGTGTGTGTGAGAGAGAGAGAGAGAGGAGAGAGAGAGGGAGGGAGGGAGTCAGTGGTGCTGGTTTCAGTTAATATTGGTTCGAACTCCTTATTATTTACAATTTACCCCTCAAAGTTTAGAAATAAAGTCATAAAACAGTAATATATTTTTGTAATTTCTCTAAAGGTCATCTCATTAATATTTTAGTTTTAGGCAATACAACAATCAGTCATATACATGTACATATATATTTTTTGCTCCTAATTAATATACTTTGTAAATAGTTTATCTGTATTTTAGCCATTTCTAACTCAGATTAATTGTCAAATTGTTTAGTATTATTTTGTTAAAAGAAATTATGTATAAAATGACTCATGAAAGCCAAATTATATTTAATTAAATAGTTTGTGTCTTTTTGGGAAGAAAAAGGTGGTTAGGTTCTTATGAGAAGAACAATAATAATTTAATTAGGATAAATCAATAAGCATTGTTACTAAAGGGTTTTGATCGTTTATCAAAATATAGTTAGTGTTATGCAATTTATACACTGTAACAGATTTAGTATAAAATGTCCACAAGATCCGGTTTATCTTTTTATATGTTTTACCCTTTTGATATGGATTTCATTTTGTTCTCCTAATTAGGTCTGGCAATGGAACGGGTTTTGACCCTGATCCGATCCAAACCCTTAATAATTATACGGGTTTGGAGCATAGTTTTTGATCCGTTTACCCGTTAACGACCCGTACCCGCTAACCCTTTTATTAAAAGGGTCGGGTATGGATCATCACAGATCCGCTCCATTTATAACCCACCCCATACAAATTTTAGAATTATACATTTATATTTTATACTGTCTAAATTTTACTTTAAATTTCAATCGAAAGTCCAAAGAGAAAATGTCAAAGACTAAACTATTTATACATAGGACTCGGGGACTCAACTTCTAGACTTCCAGTCTTCTCCCAAGAATCATGATGTCATTTCATTTATATTTCATCATGTAATCACCAATTTCATTTATAAATCAATAAATTCATTTATCAACCGGAAGAAAGTTTCTAATTGTTATTCTCTATCAATGCAATCGAGGGTCAAAAACCAATTGGAAGTAACTACGATAATGATTTTAATTCCAATTGAAAGTCTTCGAGTACATAATGTGTTTTCTAAATCAACATTTATTTTATTTAACAAATGTGATTTTATGATTTAAGTAAAATGTGTTTGATTATTCAAAAAACCTACGGGTTACGGGGCGGGTTTGGATATCTGCTGATTCGGTGGATAAGAGTATAGGTTTGATTATTCAAAATCCTGCGGGTTATGGAGCGGGTTTGGATCGGGTTTTAGAATTTGTTAAAAGGGTTTGGATCAAGGTCGATTCGCTCCAAACCCGCCTCATTGCGAGGTCTACTCCTAATAAAGGATTTTGAGCATATATCAAAACCTTGGGAGGTTTGATGTTGGTTAATTTGGAAAGTGATAGATGACAATGGTACAAAGTAGGTGTTACGTACAGAAATAAGTCTTTTATATTTTTAGAATAAAATGATAAATATATCACAATCTAAACCTCTATATATATATATATATATATATGTGTGTGGCTTTTGTATAAAAGAATAACCATTTAAAAAATATCTAGCAACTTTTGGATGCATGCCAATCATTCAAGACCTTTCCAACCATGTCGACTGTATGGTGGCCACAAAAAATTATACAAGGTCCCACACTCATATTACAGAAAGCTGAAATAATCAAGGACGCAATTATATTAGACTTGACGGGGGAATGCGGTATATATGATGTATATAACTCTTGAAAAATAGAGACATTCACAAATCTAATTAACCACGTGTTCTTTTAGATTACCCAAAATAATCAAGAATTTTGTACTTACAAATCTAACCATTTAATCTGGAATTATCTTTTTATTCAGTCATTTAGAGAAAATAAAAAAACAGTATTCATCATATCCTGGAATCACATTATGAACAAAACGAGACAACATGGAATCGGATGTAGAAGAGAATATTGTATTCCAAGATAAGTTATTTCTACTTTCTATCTTATCATTAGTATCGTGGTACAATTATCATAGTCGGAAATTCAAAATCGCCAATCTAAAACGAAACCCTCATTTCAAAATCCGAATAACCTGTTTAGATGGGGTGCCGGTATCGGTGGTTTCTGACAGGGATGTTCGTTTTACTTCAAGATTTTGGAAGCGGTTTCATGACGAGTTGGGCACTCGTCTCCATTTTAGTACAATATTTCATCCGCAGACCGATGGTCAAAGTGAGCGGACTATCCAGACCGTTGAGGATATGTTGCGTGCGTGCGTGTTGGATTTTGATGGGAATTGGGATACGTATCTTCCGTTAGCAGAATTTTCATATAACAACAATTATCACGTCAACATTGATCGACCTCCTTTTGAGATGCTCTACGGGAGGAAATACAGGACCCCAATTTGTTGGGCGAGGTCGGTCAGCGGGTTATGGGGAGTACCGAGGTGGTGCTCAAGATCATTGAGCTGATTCAGCAGGTTTGTAGCAGGCTCCAGACAGCTCAAAGTCGGCAGAAGAGTTATGCTGACAGACGTCGTTCAGACTTGGAGTTCCAAGTGGGAGATATGGTTCTCCTGAAGGTGTCACCTTGGAAATGTATCATACGGTTCAGGAAGTGGGGCAAGTTGGGCCCCATGTATATTGGTCCCTTCAGGGTTTTGGCCTAGGTGGGCCGGGTTGCATATCGTTGAGACCTACAGCCGATCTCAGTTAGATTCATAGCACGTTTCATGTCTCTCAGTTGCGAAAGTGCTTGGTAGATGATTCTGCAGTGTTGCCTTTGGAGGACATTCAGGTGGATGACCGCCAGAATTATATTGAGAGACCGGTGGCGATTCTGGATCAAAAAACGAAAACCTTGAGGAACAAGGTAGTTGATTTGGTGAAGGTGCAGTGACAGCACCGCAAGGGCTCGGAGTGGACTTGGGAGTCCGAAGATAAGATGAGGGAGCATTACCCAAAGTTATTTGGAGCGACGGACTTCGAGGACGAAGTCTGATCCAAGTGGGGAAGAAGTGTAACACTTGTGACCTTGTATGTACCTTATGACCGTTCTATTTTGAAATTATGCATTTTGGTCCCTGAAGTAGTACGTGGGGCGTACCACTTGGTACGCTTACCGTACTGGTGGAAAAGCAGTATGTGGGGCGTACCACTTGGTACGCTTAGCGTACTGAGTTATTGGCGAGTTGGGATCTAGGTCACGTACGATGGGCGTACATAGACTTTAATGAAACCCTAATTGAGGGTCTTCCACCCTATATAAGCCACCTTATTCTCTAGGGATGGCCTCATTACCAGCCTCTAAAGCCTCCAAAACCCTAAATCGAGTTCTAGCCTCCATTGTTAAGCATTTGAGCCTTTGAAGAGAGTTTGGTGTTCATTTTGTGCATTTTAAAGAAGTTAGAATGTAACATTCCATTTGAAATTAAATAAATAAAATTAAATAAAACAGGTAAATATATAATAAACCTTAAACCCTGAGATGTAAATTATATTTTTTTTATATTACTTTATTGTAGCCCTAAATTCGTAATATTTTATCAATGTCAGCCATAAGAGTTAAATGAAATAATTTCTGGAATATGGGATCTATATCGAACATTTGGACTTGAAATGTAAAGAAATTCGTGAAGCAAGGACTGTATAGTAATTATTGGATCTAAATTGAAAAGGAATTATTGTGGCAGGGACCAATCTTGTAAAAGGCATTTAAGTTTGGTAAAAACACGGGACTTGAACCTGGTGGTCTTTTCCCTCCCGTTTTAAGGCTCATCACCTCCAAAACCCTAACCCTAGGGCATTACTAGTCAGCCGCCACCTTGTATCTTCATTGTCCAGCCGCCGCCTTGAGCGGCCAAGCACCCCGTTGCTGCATCCGCTGCCGACGAAGCTAACCTCGCACGCTACTATTGTCAGTGGTATCGAAGACCGACGGGAACCCCCCCCCCCACGGGGATGACGCCGCGTCATAATGGAAATCAGAAGGACAGAGCCGTCATCGTGGTTATTGTTGTCGTCACTCCCAGTCGCATCTCTTCTCCGTTTCATCAGTGCTACGCCCCAGCTGCGTCGGTCGCCACCGCAGCTCCAAGTGCCACCTTCTGTTGTGCTCTTGTTGCCGCCTGCCACCCGAAGTGGCTGAGTTGGGTGTGTTTTCTGTGTTACATCTCGTGTTAGTGATTGTGTTGCCGATTGTCAGCTGTGTATGGGTGTTTGGTTGGCCGGAAAGCGAGTCGGACCACCATGGCATCCAACCATGGTGGCTGCCGCCTGCTGCCATCTCCTGCCGCCACCAGCCACCATGAAGAGTGGTTGTGTGCGTGTTTTATGGTGTGTGTGTGTGTGTTTGTGTGTGTATGTGTGTGTATATATATATATATATATATATATATATATATATATATATATATATATCCCTAACTAATAAACGAAAGTAAATTGTCACGTGTCACTTAAAAAAACACTAATTATATCCAATGTTAAATACTGTTTTTACCCCTCTTTGATTTCACCTTCTATAATGTCCAGGTCAAGATAAATCAGCATTTAATATCCGATTTTTATGGTATTTATGGTATATGATCTCTATTTAAATATTTAAACTTCAAAATAAATTAGCATTTAATATCCGATTTTTATGGTATATGATCTCTATTTAAATTTAATTTGATACGTTTGAAATAAATACCCGATTCAGTCCTCCAATTTTAAATAATCAATACAAAAAAGTGTTAACAACTTAACTCTTATTAATAATATAAGTTTTATAATTTTTACTCGTGGTTCCTACGGGTTGTAACCTAGTATATATATATATATATATATATAATATATATATATATATATATATATATCTATATCTATATATATATATATGAGTATTATGGTGTAATGTTGTTGAGCCATCTTCGGCCGAAAAACTAAGGAAACCCCACCACCACCGTGAGGTGGTGGCTGCCACCGTTCTGCCTTCACTAGCCACCATCTCAC